ATAATGAAAAGAAGTATAGTTGATTTTAATCACATTTCAAAAGATATTCCAGAACAGGATGTGGACGCACTAATACAATACTATAAATATTATCATAAAAAAACTTTGGTGTGTAAAAAAATGTTACAAATGCTATAACAAGATCCTTCGAGTAATATCATATCTACCCTTGTTAATGACCAGTTCTGGTATAATTTCAAGTGGGGTATCATTAAATCCTTTTTTGTTAATCATATCTGCTATTGGTGTTTCACTTACAGCGGCGTGTAAAAAAGTAGAACCAAGACTTTTGATAAAGAAGCACGGTTGTTTAACATCAATTAAAACTTACAAGAAACTACTTGATCAGATCCGATCTTACCTACGAGGAGTTAAATATAATATGGATGATTTATTACGTGAACTTCGTATTATTGACAATATGTTAACAGATATTCTACCAATGAGGGTTAGCAAGTATGAAAAAAGTATCACAAAAAATATGAGTAACATAAAATTTTATCTAAACTTAAGATATAATATAACTAAAATAATATCATTTTCATTCTAATGCTAGTTTAATTTCCGCCTTGTTAACTGAAACGTTATAATGCACAGTTTAATTTTCATCCTGTTATCTGATAAACAATTTGTGGTAAAACCTATTTACCGTCTTTAGAATAATCGTATTTCACGCATGCGCTGTTCTAACAAATTCGTCACTTCTGTTGACAGAGCTTATCGCATTCCAACACCTGTTGTTTTGTCTGGTTGCAAAACATCTGTATACATAGTAGTAGTATAGGAAAATGAGGGTTTGGCGGGGTGGGGGAGGAGGTGTGAGAGGGGGGCCAAAACCCTCATTTTCCTCTACTACTCGGGTCATTTGGTAGAACGTGGACTTCTAGCCCAATGATTGTGGTCTTATACCTGTATTAGCCAATTCAGTTTGGCACGCATTTCCGATTAATATAGCTAATAATTTGCTAAAACATCGACAAAATCCTCCTAAACAAAATCAAAAATGCCCCCGCTGCTAAACTAATGTATTTTTCAGATTCAGATTTGTAACTATTAGCCCATCTTTAGCGATTCCGCTTATAATCTTGTCTCGTATGATCCTATATAAAATGATTCAATCTCATATGATCCTATCTCACATGATCCTATTTCAGTTGATCCTCAGCCATGTGATCCTAACTCATATGATTTAATCACATATGATAATCTTAAGGCAAACAGATAAGTATATAAATGCAATAAAAATTTACCATGGATATGCGCTCGTAGACATATTGGCGAATTCTTTCATCAGATTTTTGGAAACTTATGGAAAAAAGGGACATACATATTTTACATTTACTTCTAACGCCTTGTATTATCATGTTAGGTTTATCAATCTAATTAACCCTGTATAATTAGTTTTATCAGCACTATATCTGTTTTTTATATTGGTGAGTCCTCAGTGGGGGAGAATTGGTGACTTAATAATGCAGAAGATCTGATTTTGTTGATGAATAGCGGTACATCAATGGAAAATCTGTAAGTGACAGAACAAAAAAAGAAATTTTAGAATGATATATTCCCTACGACCTTTATTTTTACTTAGTATTAAGATTGGCATAATATCACAGTCTTAAGAAATAATAATTTTAAAAAAAAAAAAATAATAATAATAATAATAATAATAATAATAATAATAATAATAATAATAATAATAATAATAATAATAATAATAATAATAATAATAATAATAATAACAATAATAATAATAGTAATAATAATAATAATAATAATAATAATAATAATAATAATAATAATAATAATGATGATGATGGTGATGATAATAATAATAATAATAATAATAATAATAATAATAATAATAATAATAATAATAATAATAATAATAATAATAATAATAATAATAATAATAATAATAATAATAATAATAATAATAATAATAATAATAATAATAATAATAATAATAATAATTAGTAGTAGTAGTAGTAGTAGTATCAATAAAAGCAGTGGCAGAAACAGCAGCAGTATTATTAATAATAAGAAGAAGAAGGGGAAAAGCATGACAAAATCTATAGCAACTGCAATTCCATTGCAAACTCTCACCCACTGAACTGCACATCCAGCAACTATTTAACCAATTTGCCATGCCCTGGCTGCCAGCCAATGAATATAAAGTAAAATTCGTCACATAGATAATATGTCTTCTTTCTATGATGCCTTTTAATTTTTTGCGTAGTAAATATTTCAAAATTACATTTTAATTACAACATTTTTCATATTTAACCTTTGACCCCCTTTCAAGGACCCCAGGTGTGGAGCCAAGGACCACATCCGTCACAAAGATGGTTACCACATGGACTGTATATGAAGAGAGGAGTCCTTTAGGTCACGGAATGCTTGTATGAATTCCATTATAATATTAATAGCAAGAAAACCCGATCCCTCTTGACTTTAGATTGGAATGTAAAATCCCAGATACAATCCTCGATTAGAAATTAAAACTCTGCAATTACCGAATCCGTCCTGCACTCCAACACCAACATCTTTTGCCAAGCAAAGGAGAGACGCAATGGTTCAGGGTGTACAAATTGCGTTGGCATTCAATAACTTAAGTGTGTTGCTATGCCGTAAAACACCAATATCAACATAAAATTTGACAAACATAAATCTGACAAATATTTATTTGTTTTGTTTGTTTCTGTTTGGGATTTTGTAGGTTTTTTAATTTGGTTTTGGGGGGATATTTTTCCTTCCACCGGGTGTTTCAATGCACTCCTCTTCAATGTTATGTTCCTAAGTCGTGGTGGACATATTTTTTGGAGAAATTAAATGTATATAAAAATGCACAGAGAAGCCTAAACATGTGAAATATATTTGTAAATAAAACAAATTTCTGTAACATTCATCAAGTCTTTCGCTGTTTTTGTGAACAGTCTAAGTCATCCTGTGTTGTTGATACACTTTGTTTAACACAAACGATGACATATCTTGGCTGGCTAATGTGGTTTTGTATACACTGGCGCCATGTGAAGATGCTGATGACAGAATTTCGTTCTAGTGAGAATCAAATTTGTTGATGGAATCCACTAATTTGATGACAGAAAGGAGGAAATTGGAATTATATGGATTGAATGATCATGGTAAGGTATTTATCATGCAAAATTATGAATGATAATGTTAAATTTACAATTTTAGAGGCAACCAACCACGATAATATCTTATATTATTACTCTATCAAAACTGACACGAACAATCCACATAATCCAAAAATGTGCAATTAATTAATTAAATCCATATTATCCAAAAACGTACAATTAGTTAATTAATTAAACCCATCTGATACAAAAATGTACAATTAATTAAATCTTTTTTGATGCTTATCTATCCTCTAGCACAATCAGTTAAATCTGACTTACACTTATCTCTTTTCTAGCTAATAATTTAAATTCTAATCACACTTATATTTAATCTAGTAAAATAATCTATATTATAATCACACTTATCCCTTCTCTAGGATAATAATTTAAATTCTAATCACACTTATCTCTCCTCTAGCATAATAATTTTATTTCTAATCACACTTATCTCTCCTGTAGCATAATAATTTAAATTCTAATCACACTTATCTCTCCTCTAACATAATAATTTAAATTCTGAGCACACTTATCTCTCCTATAGTATAATAATTTAAATTCTAATCACATTTATCTCTCCTCCAGCATAATAATTTAAATTTTAATCACACTGATATGTCATCTAGCATAATCAGTTAAGTTTAACCTATACTTTTCTTACATCGAGCATATAGTCAAATTTGACTTACACTTATCCCACATCTAGCGAAATCAGTTAAATTCTAATTACACTTATCTCACACCTAGCATAAGTCTAATTTTACTTACACTTATCTCACACCTAGCATAATCAATTAAATTATAATTACACTTATCTCACATCTAGCATAATAAGTTAAATTCTAATTACACTTATCGTTCCTATAGCATAATCAGTAAAATTCTATTGATACTTATCTCTCTAGCAAGGTGAGAAAAACTTTACTCATATTATTTCTCCTCTTGCACAATCAGTCAAATTCTATTACACTTACACATCCTCTACGATAATCAGTCAAATTCAACTTAAATTTATCTCCTCTGCTTTGATCAGTTAAATTCTAATTGGACTTATCTCTCCCCTATCATTTGTCTCTCTCCTTCGTCTTTCTATAGCCAAAGCTTTTAAAACTCTGTTTCCATTTGGTGTTTAACTTTCATTTCTATTAGTTCATAACTCTATTTCCGTCGGGTGTTTAACTTTCATTTCTATTTCAGTCTGGTGATTAACTTTAATTTGTATTACTGTCATTGCAAAGCTAGACAGAGCCTTCCTAATCAAACCCAAATAACTTTCATTCAAGAATTTGGATTGTACCAAATTTTGGACAAGAATATTGTTTATTTTTGAGTCGTTAAAGACTCGTTTTCCTCATAAAGATCATATTGTCTGGTCTGCAATTCATCCTTTTTCAATGCCACTAACCTTTCCTGGGTAAGATCTTCACTTAGCTGACTTTATTAAAGCTTGATAGTTTTCACAAGTATGTGAAATTAAAATGCATGGCAGTTAGAAAATTCCGAAACAAGTGAATTTAAATTTCAGAAACAAAAGTTTTCTGAAATATGTTAGAGAAATTCATATCAAAGATGTGTGTGTGTATGTGTGTGTGTGTGTGTATGTGTGTGTGTGTGTGTGTGTGTGTGTGTGTGTATGTGTGTGTGTGTGTGATCTGGATTATTTAATGTAGCTTTAACTATTTTTTGTGAGCAGTGTGACAGTTTATAGAGATGTCTAGCACTGGGGCATCATGCCGCAGATAAGTTGCATGATGTCTCACCCAGTCACATTATCCTGACACCAGGCCGACCAGTCCTAACTCTAACCTTTATATGCTGAGCGCTAAGCGAGGCAACTGTTAGTACCATTTTTGTAAGTCTTTGGTATGACTAGGCCGGGGATCTAACCCAAGACCTTCCGCATCCGAAGTGAACGCTCTGACTGCTAGGCCACCGGAGCGGTCGATAAGGATCCAAAATTTTCTGCTACATGTTTAAGATCATAAATGAAGTTTTAAAAAAAATTTAAAAAATACCAGCAAGTTTCTTTTGCAAAATTTAGTAGATATTTTTTTCCCTAGAATAAAAAGAGAAAATTTAAAAAGAATTTACAGCAAGAACTTTGACTTAAATTCCATTAATTCTAAAAGTTCTATCACAAGTCCAAATACATAGAATTTCAAATGAACTCCAGCGGAGTTCCAATGAATTCCAGTATTGAATATATTAGCCTGGAATGTTTCAATGTGTCAACAGTATTTTGATGTGTCACAAAAATATAATCCAAAATGTCTTGATTGAATTTACTATTATCCCAAATTATTTTTTTCGTCCAAGAATATTATTGAGCACTTCCAGTGAATAACAATTTGAATAAATAAATCCAGCCAATTAAAATCTGAACACGACAATAAGACTGATTTTGCTTTAAATGTTAAGATAGGAATAAATAATCTTTAGGTAAACAAGTTAATATACCTCCTCACTTGACCATAGGTCGCAATGACCTTTTTCTGCAAATATTATCATCTTAATGGAAAATTTCTTGTTTAGAACATTCTAAATTCAGACTCGAGGCTATATGTTTAACTCCAATTGAAGCAAACATGTTTATAATTAATAATAATCTGAATGTTTAATCTATGATCATAAAGAAATATTAAATATAAGTTATGTTGATTACAAAATAAATATCACTGGTGCTGAAGACAATTGACTTGATCTTCTACTAAGGTCAGTAAAGAGATATACAAACAATACAAATTAAACATACCTAACATTATCATCTATCTTTAGACAGAAATCGGAAGATAATGTGAAAAGACCTTCCTGACATGAAAACATGTTTAAATTGAAACGTGAGTAATGTTGCACGTTTCCTTATACACCTTTTAAGATGTGGATTTCAGGTTAGATTAATGGTGGTCAGTTTAAAAATTTCTTAATAGCTACCGGGGCTGGACAATAGGGTAAAAGGTGGTAACTTCCAAATTGTGAGAATAATATGTCTGAAGTATGTAATCACTGTCCCAAGTACCAAAACAAACCATAATTGGTTTGGACGAAACTCTTCTTCCATTCTCTGTGCATTCAGTTTTGGCTCCTGAGTCATTACATGGAAAACAGTTGAGATTTTCATTCTATACAAAGATATACACTTACAAAGATAAATGTGCAATTGTAACTGACAAAGGCTAATGGGACGTAACCTCTGATTCATATTTTGGAACTATTTTGATTCTCACGCTGTCAACACTTAAAGGAAATGAAAATATGAATTTGATATTCAACTATAATTGTCCCATATTATGTTATTGCCTTTGGGAATTGATCCTTGATATATAGATTTACAGCGAGGGTTGGAGAAAGCTGGCGGAAATTGGGCTATGTTTCTGTTGCGGGTTTTATTAGCATTTTGGTTGTACTACCAGCAGTTCTAGAGAACTTTAATTTTCAAATTGTACGCTGGAGTGGACCTGACAAAATATTAGTGGTTGCATATCAAAACTTGTTCCCGGTGGTGTATCTCGCCACTGCGAACGCAATGCACGCACGTCTTCAGTGCCTTTAAGCACTGTGAAATCTTCTAATGCATCCCAGTCATTGGTACGGTCGATTCTGCAATAACCAATTATTCCAAGTTCAAAATCAAAATATGACCGTAATCTCGACTGTTTTCATACTTTATCTGCTCTGATTATCTTGCAGCGAACATTTCTAAAATGATCGTATTTAAAATGTATCAGCGACTGTTTAATTTAAATTTACATTTAGGAAATGCAGGGTTCTATTAACTAATTACCAAAGGCAAAAATGATACTGACAATTCATGGTTGAATATGAGATAGAAAATTAATCAAAATGAGAAAAAGAAAATCGTATGAATCATTAGCTTAATTTGATCTAACCATGAGGAAATAACTTTAGCGATGTGTCATAACAATAACTGCAGTTTATACGGCGTTTTTCTATTAAGATTTGTTGATATTTTAATGAGTGTATGTGAGAGAGAATTATTTTGAGTCCGTAATATTCCGATATCAATACAAACAGAATGCTTTACGATAAAACATTTATCATTCGATTTCAATGTTAAGTCAAATTTACCAGGAAAAATTGAAATACCCCCAATTGAAATAAAATTTGGAATTGAAGAGATTCGTTTTAATTTACAAAATATTATTAGCTGTATTATAACACGCAAGGAACATAGCTTATTTCGATACAAGTCGCCTGTATGTACATTTTTGATATCATAACCTTTAAAGATATTCATATGGCTGTGGTTGATTTCTTGTAATATTTAAACAGAACATTCTTCCTTTCCTTCAAAATGTTTATGTATTTGTCTGGCATGTTTCCAACCCTCGTCTAACCGTCTAGGTTTTTATATGTGCATGTTTGAAGACAACTGGATTTTTTCGTTGTTATGTTTATAAATTTAAAAATTAAGCTACTTTTCTTGCCAAGAGTGCTTTGAAATCTTGCGGTTGCATCATGGTGCAAGGATGTGTTTTAATACTACAGTTTCTAGCTTAGTAATCAGTCCATTATAGATTATCATTTTAAGGCTTTATTGGGCAGTCTTTTTTTATTCAACACGTACATTTGAATATTGAAGCATTATCAAACATGAGTTCACCTCAAAAAAAAATTAAAAACTGCATAAAAACAACCCCTAATTTGCACAAAGAAACGTGAAATACTTAATGAAAGAAATTAAAACGGGCAGCTTATTTGTTATCCTTCTATATAATACATGTGTGGAAGCGAGGAGACTCTTCTTCAGATATAATCAGAGTTACAAAAGAAAACAAATTCCCCTAAAATTGCGAAACAGCTTATTATGTTTTCGTAGCTTAGTCATGACTGGGTAATATTGTGTCACTTTTTTATGCATGTTTCATAATATGGTCAGATTTTATAAAATTTAAAATTCATGTTATGTGCATCGCATCATTTATCCCAGTTATATGAGTCGTTAGATTTTGTATGCCTGGCACAAAGAACATCTTTATTAAATGTGATCAATCGTTTCGCCGGCGCGATCCCATTAAAGTCTTGCTGTTGTGGAACGTTAGACTTGTATGCAAAAGAGTAATAACAGCAAAAGTTTATATAAATTGATTTAAAAGGCTTGATTAAAATTTTGAGGGAAGCACGTACATGTACTTTCTCCATTTTTCCTTCATCTTGGGTCCACTTGATTAAAATGCTTGTTATAAATGAAGATAAGCATCTATTTATTTTAAACATCCCCCAGAGGTTTTAGAATCACGGTAAACGCAGCATCCTTAATTGATAATTGATTGATCGTAAGGTTTCCTGGTGAGGGTTATGAAACGGGAATTTAATGCAAGCGTTGTTTAATAAGACCCATTTTATTTTGTTTTTCTAACAGTATAATCTTTTGAAAATATTTTACATAAATCTTTCGATTACATGTTTCGAGAGCATGAAATTAATGTTTATCCTGAAATCCATAAAGTGATCAGACATTTAATAATAGATTTCATCAAAAGTAAGGAAATGAAAAATATATCTTAATTGTTTTTGACGCATGACTGATCAGGTAGGGAGCGTATTGTTCTTGCGCTCTGGTATATTATGCATTCTACGAACAATGTTTACATTAATCAAAATCAGAAAATTAATCGAAAACTATCCTGTTTAAACTTTATTTCTAAGCACTTTTTTCCCACCAAACCTATTAGTAGTTTTGGTTATTCCTAAAAATGAGTTCACCTTTCATCCAAACAATAACTGAATTGTGATGCTTGGCAAATGCTGCGAGTAACGAACAAATAATAATTGTTCTGATTCCTGGATAGTTAAAAATCAAAGTCATATTTGATAACTATTAAACATAATTCGCAATGCGTTGTGTTGGTATAGTGCATAAATCTTATTATCTTAGAATCTTGTTGAGATAAAAAAAAATTGTGAAAACTGTAATTCTCATTGATCATTAAAATTTGTTTTGGGCTGTATTATACTAACAATCTGAAGTAAAATGAGGTACATAATTGCAAATATCTCAAAATTCAATATTGATGAACCATATATTTGACAAGATATCAATGTTGGTAAAAAGTTGTGACACCGAAAGTCTGAAATCAAAAGGAGAAATAATTTCATTTTAATTAGACACTTGCCTTGGATCAATATTTGCAATGGTGATTTTGTTTATTATCGAGCATAATTATTCTTAGCTCGCAATGTGTTTAATATAAATATTTTGAAGGAAGACGGATTAGTCCCTATTGTATCATCCTCTTTAATCACGAGCGTACATAAGTTCTGCATTTTGTTTGTTTGTTTTCTTTGTTTTTCTTGCTTTTGTTTTTGCCTAATTTTGTAGGTGGTGTTACTTTGCATGCTGCTACAAACGCCAGCACCTTCCTCAGCAATAAGGGCACTAAATGAAATAAGAATGCTCTTCAAAGCTGGTTCCTCTCTATTGCATTTATCTTTGTCAGCAGGAAAAGTAAACTTTAATCTAAATTTTAAAAAGACATTGGACATTCTACTAGCCATTTCAAAAGACTTTATGAGGCTCACTCGATGCTTAATTAGATAGAAATTATCCCATGTCATAAAACAACTAGTATTCATGCAAAATAATGTCACATTGAAAACTGCATTCTCCTTTTCAGAAAAGGAAAAGTGTTTAAAGTCGTTGTTTACATTTCTCTCTAAAATCAACAACACCAATGTAGTTCTTCCGGAATCAACACTCCGCACTATCAACAAATTAACAAAGACTGTAACAAGTAAATATGAAATTGTAGACTTTACAATAACAATTCGTGTTAACACAGCTTGTGACTGATAAGTCACACTCTGTTTAAGGGAGCAGTACCGCAATTCTAAGACCTTGATGTGAATTTTATTCAACAGATCTCTCAAAGAGAACATTTTCTATGTTCTCTGAAAAATAGAGATAATATTACCAATACACAAG